GAATTTGACACGTAATAAATTGCAATTTTTACAATTCTGAACGTTCCGTGAAGGAATTCATTTAATTGAAATGTAATATCGGAAAAAAAAATGTTGAATTTGTGGCAGAGTAGATCAGAGTTAATTAGCAGAGACCTCCAAAAAAAAAAACTCTGCCACTCTGTGGCAAACAATGGTTGCACGCGTTGCATTGTTGCAGCTCATGCGGCGCAAGCAGCCAAAGCCAAAAGCAAATTGGCAGCAACAAAACTTTGGCAACAACAGAATTGCGGTGAAAATTTTCATTGCATAGCAATGAGATGAGGAGATGGGGAGATGAGGAGCTGGGAAATGCAGCCCATAAGCTAGGCAGGTAGCCAGGTAGCAGGTGGCAGGTGGCAGGTGGCAGGTGGTAGCTGATGTTGCGCTCATTATGATGACGACGAATGCCCGCAAAAACCAAAGGAATGCGACAAAATGTATAGAGAAATAGGCAAAATAGAGATAGATAGAGAGTGAAAAAAGAGATAGAGAGACAATGAGATGGAGATAGAGTGCAAGTGAGAGGCAAACATATTTGGGTTCAGCGCATCAAAAAAGCATCCATCATGCAATTTGTCAGAGCGCCACATTGCGTCAATCTTCGTAGCAATTGGCCAAGTTAGCGGAAATGCAATGCCCTTTTAATGGCCCCACAAGCTGTGATGTGCTTGTCTGTGCTATCTGTGTGTGTGTGTGTGTGTGTGTGCTTAGGTGTTTATATTCTGTGTTGCTTTACACATACCCGGCTGGTGAGGATCCCTGGCTGAAGCATTTGCCCGCTGCCATTGCAGCCGCCGACGTTGTGTGTATATGACGTTGCGGTGGCGTTGGCTGATGATGCGGCGACGAGGTGGCCGAAACGGTCGGTGTGCTTTTTGATGATGAGCTGCTGCCCCCACCGCCGCCGCCAGCAGCACTGCTGGCACCACTGCCAGACACTCCACCCGCTGGCATGGCCACTTTGCGCTTGGGTGACAGCTCCTGGGCCGCATTATCGCAGACGCTGTCCGTGTTGACGACCTGCTCGAGCATATGTATCTTCAGCATGTTGTTTGATTGATGCTTTGATTGATGGATTGACTGTTTGACGTTGCGTTGATTGCTGGCCTGCTGCTGCCTGCTTTGCTTTTGTTTTGTTTTGTTTTTATATTTTTGGTTTTGTATTTTTGGTTTTAAATATTTGGATGCGTTTTGTTTTGGTTTGCTTTTTGGGTTTACGCTGTTTTCCTTCAATATTGTGCTTTTTGTTTTTGTTTTCCCTTTGTGTTTCATTCACTTTACATATTGTTGGCGGCGTGTGCTATAAATTGGATGCGGGTTAACATTTAATTATATTGCTTCTTAGCATTTTATTACAATCGATTTGCCTGCACTTCAGGTACTCGAATTGCGAAGTGCTCAATCGAGCAGCTTAATTAATTTTATATTATTTATTTTCACGCATTACACGAATTACACGATCAATATTTTGCTGTTTAGAGGATTTTGACAAATTGAAAAATTCAAGTTTGGTTACTTTTGTTCAGTTTAAGCACTTAAAACAAAAATTTACAAAGCATAGTTGATTTTTGAAAGTGAAAAAAAAAAATGCATGCTGAATTCTATTAGTCCAAAATTTTCTTCTAGTTATATGTATAAGAACTCTAACTATAACTAACTACAAATAAATAATATGAGCATGTGTTAACATGTATAACAAATGTCTTACTATCTATAGTAAGTTATGGCTAGACCTTTTATATATAACTAGAAGAAAACACATATCTCAAATTTTTCCTTGTAATAGATCAAAGTAAAGTCAACTTTAAAGCAACCTTCTTATTATCTCAAGACTTCTCCCGCTCTTTAATTACATGAAATCACCTAGATCATACAATCAATTCAAGTATATATATATATATATATATATACACATCTTGAACTTGTTACGATAATTCTTTTTACGATGCGGCAAGCGGCAACTGGCCGCAAAAGGCCGGCCAAGCGCAATGCCGGAATATGGAAAACGATGGAAATTTAATAACTGACAGCCTGAGAGAAGTCAACTTTATGGGCGCTCGTAAAACTTCATCAACAAAAAAAAATATATATATATATGGAAAAGGTGGAAAAAAAAAACAAAGAGAATCACTCAGGCCCGAAATAAAGTGCTGGGCCATATTAAGAAGTAATGCTGAAAAGCCATTGGCATTGCTTTGCCTTTGCTTTGCTTTCTGCCTGCTGCGCTTGCCTTTGTCCAACGAAGCGATGAAAAGCGCGTGAAAATGCGTGCAATATGAAAAGCCAATGACAGTAGACAGCCAGTAAAACATACAGTAGAAAAGCAAAAGCAGCCCGCACATGTGAAAAGTAACTCTGAGACAGAGAGAGAGAGAGAGAGAGAGAGAGAGAGAGAGAGAGAGAGAGAGAGAGAGAGAGTGAGTGAGAGTGAGAGCGGGCCACAAAGCTGCTCAACTCAGACCTAAGGCAACTTGTGAACAAAACCGTCATAAAAACCACTCGAGGCAAATGTACGTACGGGAGCCCAAAAGCCCAAGGAAAACGAAGGAAAACGGGGGAAGGAGGGAGGTTGTAAGAAAACGTTGACTTGAACCTGCCCCACTGACAATTGGCTTAAGTCTAGAGGGTTGTCCAACCCGGCATTCTGTGTAGGTAATGGCTGACGGCACGTGTCCAAGTGCCGCCAAGATGATTTATGTTGCATGGCATTGACTGAAGGCATGTGGCAACTGCTTAGCAACGTTGACAGGTGGTGCACACCACCACAGACACCGCACAACCCAACCCCACCCCCACCACCACTAGCAGCAGCAGCAGCAAGTCTAGCTCTAAGTGCTTCATTACAATGCCGAATCAGGTGTAGAAAGGAAGAAGAGCAACAGCTACTATTTACTTTCGGTGGTCTAGCCCCAGAGTCATTTCAGGGCGTACTTAAGCAAATAGCCAGCGGAAAACCCATTTCATAGCCTCGGGGAAAAACAAGGTAGCCAAGCCGGTTGGGATGGCAATGCGATTATATTTGAAATTAACGTCAGCACTTGACTTGATTAGTTGGCCCCCAAAAAGACTCTCAAGGAGTCTTTAATTAGTTAGCTTTGTCATTTTGTGGGCGAAGCACTTAATTAGTTATTTGAATATCACCCAAAGTTCGAGCTGGGTTTTTATGAGTTAGGAGCAACTTGTAGAGACTATGAAGTTAAGCTCTCGCTGATGAATTGACATTTGAATTGAACTTTAATCATATTTCGCATTAATATTTATTTTGCTCCATCTAATGACTAGGTTAATTAGAGAACTTGACATGTATATTATCTATAGACGTTCAATCGACTTATG